CATTATTCTTCTATTACATCATATATTCGTACTAGTATTAAATTGCACAGTTTAATGGGTAAATTAATTTATCAGAGACAGAAATTCAACAAACACACACACTGTTTGGGTTTTATTTGTGCACGTAACTTGAATCGATCTGTGGAATATGTGGTAGATGCCTCATCCTACAGAGCGTCGTTCACAGGCTTTTGGCTGCTATATTTTTTTATTAACCACCAGATGGCGTTGTTTCAAAAAAAGCTTTGACTCTTTTCTCGAAACGGTCAGAGGAAAGCCTCAGTGCTTCACGAGGCTTCATTTGCCCATCCCTACCCCCAACATATTTCATTGTGCGTGACATGATTTACACAAAGCGTGTGTCTTCTCCAGGTCGTGCTCCGGTTGTTCATAAAAGCCAAAATGTGCCCAGATATCGGCTTTTAATGTAGTTGGAGCATTTTTAATTACTCATATTTGCGTCTCGCCTCCCTCCACCATTAGGCACGTTCGATTTGAAGCAGTGCTGCGCAGGATGAGTGTATGACATCAACTGCGAAGCATAAGGATCCGTCTGCTCTCTTGTCACTCTCGCGGTACTTGATGTCATACACTGATCATTCTGCGCAGCGGTGCTTCAAGCCGAACGTGCCTAATGTACAGCGACAAAGCACGTTTGCGACAAATGACGTCAGAAAAGCATCAGTACGTTATAATCGGTTATGGTCGATTACTGAACCGATACCGAATCGTCCTCGTCTGCATCGCAATGCATCGAAGAAACAATTCATTTTGACACCCCTAGTATAGACGAGAATGCAAAAGCACACGCCATACAATTTTCATCTGATTTTGTTTAGTATTACATATTAAGCCATGACCACCATTTTAAATGACACTGATGCATCTTTGCCAAAAAAATACAAATTACATGAAGTTGTGTAATGACTGACCTGAAGACCAACACATTGATCAAGTCCCCTTGATTTTACACACAACTTTTAAGTGGTTAATGCAACAGTCATTAGACCACCTTTTTTAGTGGGTTAAGATGATCTCCCATCTTTTTCTCTTGACAATAGATAGCACTATTTTCACTTTTGATGTATTATATTTTTCATTTTGTCATTTCATGTGAATATTAAAGGCCTGGAGGTCCACAGTGGAACAGACAGCCTATGGGACCAAGGAGGAAGCGGGAACTCTGAAGATAGCGGTGGAGCCAGAGTGACTAAGGACAATGGTTTTTAGATCTCTCTTGGGAGAGAGAGGCTGGGAGGGATCTGTGGAGAAATGGGAGATTTTGTTCTGGATGGAACCAGTAGAGAAACAGGAGGTTTCATGTTGGAAAGATCAGCAGGAGAACAGGTGATTTCATGATGGACGGTACCAGTGGGGACAGGGCACTTCCTCTTAAAAAAAAAACTGTAAATACTGCAGAGGCCAGCTTCAGCTCACCCTAAGCAGTGGGAGTGTGGGCGGGGCTCCTTTCCATACCTGCAAATTCCACTCCCTCGGGGATCGGCAATGTTGCCGGTTTGTGCACCTGGTCAGAAGCAAAATGGAACTTGGGCTCTGGGGCGCTAGTTGACTCGGTCCTCTTTTCAGGCTCATGCATCATGGCAGGCTGGGGCTTTCAGTCCCCAGGCATTCACTCTGTGAATGGATCAGTGAATGTGAATATTAAAGGCCTGGAGGTCCACAGTGGAACAGACAGCCTATGGGACCAAGGAGGAAGCGGGAACTCTGAAGATAGCGGTGGAGCCAGAGTGACTAAGGACAATGGTTTTTAGATCTCTCTTGGGAGAGAGAGGCTGGGAGGGATCTGTGGAGAAATGGGAGATTTTGTTCTGGATGGAACCAGTAGAGAAACAGGAGGTTTCATGTTGGAAAGATCAGCAGGAGAACAGGTGATTTCATGATGGACGGTACCAGTGGGGACAGGGCACTTCCTCTTAAAAAAAAAACTGTAAATACTGCAGAGGCCAGCTTCAGCTCACCCTAAGCAGTGGGAGTGTGGGCGGGGCTCCTTTCCATACCTGCGAATTCCACTCCCTCGGGGATCGGCAATGTTGCCGGTTTGTGCACCTGGTCAGAAGCAAAATGGAACTTGGGCTCTGGGGCGCTAGTTGACTCGGTCCTCTTTTCAGGCTCATGCATCATGGCAGGCTGGGGCTTTCAGTCCCCAGGCATTCACTCTGTGAATGGAGCAGTGAATGGAGATACATTGTTCACCAGCACCCACTCCACAAATGTGGCGAAACTCCCCGAGGACCATCTCTGGGCAGGCGTGCCTTAGGTCACTCGCTCCGGCTAGCATAGTAAAAACATCAAGCGAGCAAACTGGGAAGTGAGTGAGGAATGCCAGATCTAAAAAGTTCCTTGTGTGGTTCTTGAGGGTTTGTCCTTTTTGCTCCAAACAGAGCAGAACTGCTCGTATATAGGGCTGCCCTCGACTAAGGCATACAATGAGGACAGTGATGACTCTGATTTAGAGTTTCAGTCTGAAGTTAGTCAAACGGGGCAGATGAACCTGCTGGAGGAGATTTTGGACTCTCTCAGTACATCCCACATTGAACAAGGGCGACTGTCCGCCGCCAAGAGCCTGGACTTTTTAAGATCAATTGAAGACCTAAACTACAATCCCACGGTAAGGGATGCCTTTTATTTGAGTATTTTTCATGTTTATTTATTTATTTATTGATAATTGGTATGTATTTATTTATTTATTTAAATAAATTAAATGATTTTTATTTAATATCATTTATTTTTTATATTAATTTTGAAAATATTTATTTGACTTTTTATTACATTTTATTATATTTTTTATAGGGCTGCCCTCGACTAAGGATTTTTCTGGTCGACTAGTAGTCATTCATTTGAAGCATTAGTCGAGGAATCGCACGTTTATTAATAAACTGTTTAAATCATTTTAATGAGCCTTTAATTGCCTACATAGCCATAAGCGCTCAAGCACACGCATAGAGCTTGCCACAGCACACCGGCAGAAGCAATGTGTCAGTGAATAACAGTAAGGAAAAATCATCTCCGCAGTAGTGATGCACCTTGTTTCATACGGATTACATAATCTGAGAATATTTGTTTTCCATTTGAATTGGTTCATTGAAAGTAGACATTTCTCTCTCTCTCTCTCTCTCTCTCTCTCTATATATATATATATATATATATATATATATATATATATATATATCTT